ATAACAAAATAAACCATAGGAGTTTGTGTCCTGCAGAAATTATGCATGCGTGATGGGTGTTTTGTGCTTCCCCTCAGTGTTTAGATCATTTGGCTGATCCATCTTCTGTTGTGAAGTGGTGCCAGTGAGGAGAGGTCTCTAAAGGCATTTTGCATTAGTGAAGTGCAGTGTACTAATGCGTTCTCCTTAGCCAACCTTGCACTTTGCATTTTTGTTTTAAAATGCAAACCACATGTAATGTTGCATGCATGAATTGCTTTCCACTGCACAGAGCTCCAGGTTTGTTCTTGGTTTGTTCTTGAACTTTTAATAATCGTGAAAATAAAGGGAGGGTCTGTTTGTATTGTTTATAGTAGGAAAGAACAGTGCAAGATTTCATCTACTGCTGTTCAAATCCCTTGCTATTTTTGGTATTTGACCTCTGCAGAGAAGATTGCCAAAACTACAGGTTGTTTTCATTTTTATTACGTGTTTCTACCCTCCTAATTTTAAGTTACTCTTATGTTACTGATTAAAACTTTGAGGCAAAGTTCCACTTCTCCTACATTTTCCACGGTGTTTTTCAGAGTGGTAATTTTATGTTGAGCTAACATTCCCTTTTGGAAATGAGAACTATGCAATTTGGCAACATCTTGTGTACACCACTAAAAGGAGAAGGAAAATAACTTAGGAATTGTTGGTTTATTTTTTTGAAAAACTTTCTGGATTGAAGAGGACTTGTGAGTCTGTTGGCTTGAGTTGAGACTGCAACATTTAGAATACTGCACAAAGAGCACAGCAGTATATGCCGAAACAGTATTAAATGTTTAGTTGGTGTGGATAGGTGCTTACCTTTCATTGTCATTGGAAAGGCCTGCTTTCGGCACCTCTGGCTGTTTGCTTCTAGTCTTGCTGTGTGGTAGTTTCCACACTCCACAAGTGAGAAACAAAAGCATCTGAAAATCCTGTCCTGCCTCTTTGGCATCCTTTCCACTTTGTGCCTTCTATTCTAAAAATCAGGCTTTTTTCTTTTTTAAAGGAGCCTAATAAGATGCCCTGGAGGTCAAAATATTTTAGGTTATTTCAGAGTACTGTATTTATTCTGAGTTCCCAAGATGTAATGAGTTTTGAGTGTCCTTCAAGAAGCTTATTGTTTCTGGTAGTTGTGATATCAAGGACATGTGCAGGAGTTGCATATAACAGTGAAGTTAATTCATAGAAAAGATCACATGAATGTAGTTCCAGAGGACTAGATACAATAACACAGAAGTTTCAGGGTTAATTTGTAAAAGGTGGCTTGACCTTGTTGAGGGAGTGCAGATGTGAATGCAGATGTGAGGTGCAGCTGTTACATATGAGGAATGGTGATCACTGAGGATGGGATTGGACTTCTGTTTCAAACACAAGTGACTAGCCATAGCTGGACACCTTCAGCCAGATGCTTGTGTGTCATCCAAGTGGTGGTGTTCTCCTGGATTTTGTCTGGTTTGAGACTGTAGATCCAGAGTGTGGGCCATTGTGAGTTGGAATAAGTGGAGAACCTGAATTTAATTAACTACCTTACGTTCTGAGCAAAGGAGGTACCTCAGGGTAAGAGAAGTTTTTGGCCAGCACTCTCTGTGATTTCTTCTGAGACTGGAACTGTTCAAGAGCAGGCTGGCTGTGCCCTACAAAGTCTTTGCATCAGACAGTTTGTCCCATCAGCATGAGCAGTTTTGCTCATTGATCATCGCAACTGGCTGTTGTGCTATATCCAAAGTATGTCAGATTTCAAAGATACTGACCTTGCCAAAGGCTTCTTTGTGGCAGAAACAAAACAGATACCTGTATTGTTGAAGTTAAAGAGTGCTAAACAAAAAGCGCTTCACTTCTGCGGTGCAGAGCACCATGTGCTATGTAGGTGGCTGCAGTCCAATGCTTAGTTATCTTCTATTGTGTTTGGAAGACCATTGTTTCCTATTTGTCTCATAAATTTAACACAGATTCTATTCCTGCCATTTAAACTTTCCCATCAAAATACAACAGTGACTTCCCCTTCTGAAAAGGAAGGGCTGACAGCTACACCCTTAAGTTTGAGCATGAATTGTTTATATAACCTTCAATCACAATTTCATAATAGTCTGAAGACTTTCTTAGTAGGGCAGACATTTTACTGAGTTTTTAGCAAAAACCTGCCTGCCATCAAATGCAATTTTAAGGCTTCTTAGTTGTTGCAGTGGAAATAGAATTGAAAACTGTACCCTCCAGCTTCCTGATGATATAAATTGCACATCTATCTGGAAACATGAACAGCATTTTCTGGTATTTCAGAAGAGTTGTGCCTATGTCATTTGGGGGGTAAAAACTTAAGAGCTATCTTGGGCTAATTTTATTTCTCAGAAAATATTATTAAATCTGAATGAACATGCTTTTGCAGACTCTGGCTTTTTACAACTTCTGGGTACTTGCAGAGTTCCCTCGCCCTCCCCTTCCCAGCAGTAAAAGCTCTGACATGAGTGTTGTAGAAACTGCTCATTCAATCATATTCTCTATCAAAGTCAGTAATATTTAAACAACTGCAGCTTGCTTTCCAAATGGATGACATTTGTCAGGAACATGTCTGTCTGAGTTTACTTGGCCTATTGAGTATAAAAAGTATGAATATTTAGAGCTTGAAATTCAGGTCAGTCTGGAAAACTACATTTTTCTTACAAAAAGTTTACAGAGAGAACCCAATTTTTTAAGTAATTATAGCACTACAGGATAGCTGGGCTATGAAAACTCCTTTCTCCACCTTCAAGCATGTGTTTTTGAAATGGCATTTAAATAGAAGCTTCCATTGTAATTCTTCAGTAAATTGGATTAAGTAGAAGTTGTCCTTATTAACAATATTAAAATATTTTATTTCTTAAATTTAAATTATTAATTTGCATGGGACTTTAATGTTTTTTTGTTTGAGCAGTGTAGCAAGCAGTGTTTGAGAACAGTTTGCTTTATGTAATAGTTCTAGTAAAAGCTTGTTCCATTTGAGGACATACCCAGAAAAGTAAGGAGCAAGCTCTGTGGGTAGGGTTGTACGCAGGCTAATGCCAGAAAACATGTTGAACTTCTTCTCTTCAGAGGGGAAAGGAGTTTCCACAGGATGTCTGCGTTTTATGGCAAAAATTACTTGTAGATGTGCTCTGAAAGGTTGCTTTGATGTAGAAGATTAACCTGTGGACCTCATTGTCAGGATATTACTGAGGCAAATAGCTTAGTGAGATTACTTGTGACTTGGGAATTAAGTTTTTCTGAGTATGCCTACTTAAGCTGTTTTTTAAGAATTTGCTCATTTGTCACATGGCATCATGAATATTTTTATGTACCAAATAGGAGGAGGGAAAGCAGAACCCTGAAACTACAAACAACATGAAGAAATAGAAAAAGCAGAATGCAGTTTTGTCATAGCAACTTTTTCTTTGTTGCTGGTCTCTCATGGACCGTTAAAATAATTACCCTAAAACAAGTAATACATGGAAACTTGCTCATTCCATCTGTAAAAATCCAGCCTGAAGAATTTGCAGACAAATTTACGATGGGACAGCTGGAAAGGCATGAGAATATTTTCTTGCATTCTGGTCTGACTGATTTTTACTCTGTTTCTGTTTGGATTTTTTCAGAAAGGGTCCTTTCATGCATGTAGTAACTAGGATTGGGTGCTGGCCTAGTCCTTAAGGAAAAAAGGAGATTTTTGAGTACTGCTTTACCCTTATTCGCATTACCTGAAATATCTGTACCAGTGAGAAGTCACTGGAGTGTTGACGCCCTAGAACCTGGTGTGATTCCCTCAATGTTTGTTTGTTTTAACACAGAAGAGTACTCTAACTGAACCTGTAATTTTAACCAAAGTCATTCATGTGGATGGTTATGTTTACTTAAACGTAGCCCACCTACATCTTTCTTTTAGAAATAGTTGTAGCGTGTGAACTCACTAAAACCATGTATTGTTTATGATGGCAAATATCTCATTTAAATTTAAATGCTTCAGTATTTTTTCTGACTCTAAATTGATGAAAGCCTTTGCTGCAATTACAGAATTGAATTTTCCTTTGTGTTATAGAAAAGAGAACTCTTTTTTTTTTAAGGGCACACCATTTTTTTTAGAAGAGAACCTATGTCTGAGAGGATTGAGAGAATATTTTTTAATTTTGTTTTTGCTTGGTAAAATTTGAATTTCTGTACATCACTGAAATAGTATGGGTTTCTAGGAGGGTTCAGTAGTGCCCCAGGGAAGAATTGCCTCCGAAGGGAAGATTTGTATCAGTTGCAGTAAGAGCCAGCATTATGTGGTTTTATAGGAGGCTCAAAAAACATTTAGATTCTTAGGAGAATTGATGAAAATGCCAAAGGTGCTTAATTCCAGTGAATTCCACTGATGTCATGTAGCCTGTTTAGGCCGTGGTATGCTGACAGGTGTTTATGTGCATCATTGGGCACCTAAATACTTGTAAAATTTATCTCATCTGGCCATTTCAGGCTGTAGTTCTACATAATTTTTGTCTTGTTCTTTGCCTACCCTTTGCACATCCCCCAGCAGAAGAGTTCACTTAAGAAGTCTCCTGCAGCTGTACTGATGCAACTATTTGTGGGCTGTGCCTCATAGCAACTTTTTAGAACAAAAATTATTCCTCCTTGGGTAGTGGTGAAGACTTCATTTTCTTTCTGCTTGTGGAGAACATCACTTCACTATTTACTTTATAAAAATAATAAAGCAAATTTAGCTAAGTGATTTTCACAGGATTCACAGACAGACTATTTAATCTTTTAAGGGGATTACATGATGTAGTGCTTACAGTCACAAGAGACTGAACTCCTTAACTCGGGGAGCCCTTTCTGGTTCTCCGTTTCTGTAAATGAAGTTGTAGTAGGCAGGACGTCAGGATAATTGAATTGTGACTTCATGCGTTAACTCTCTGCAAGGTGCTTTTTCATATATATTTTTAAAGCTAAAATTATTTCAGAATGTTATAATTAAAACTCACCTTGGATTTTATTTATTACAGGTTTCTGACAACGTTAGGAACAGCATTTGAGATGACTGCAGTAGAGAAGATTGAGGAGCAGCTCGCTAGTCTGCGCATAGCAAAACGTTCTACACTAAGTGAGGAACCTGCTTACTTACTGGATATAGACGTTTCCAAACCTGCTCAATCTGAAAGCAGTCGCTATGTGGCAGTTTCGTGTTCCAATAAGTCAATTAGGGTATATAACAGGGAAACATTAAACTTCCTGCGGGAGTACAGTAGCCGTCCTGGGATACTTAATGGAGTCAGATTTGCACACGCATGTGACAGCATAGTGTTTTCTGCATGCAGTGACGGTACAGTGAAATGTTGGGATATTCGTGTAGCAACTCAGAAAGCCGTGCAGGTATTTAGTGGCTATCCTTCCAATGTTTTCATCAGTTTTGATATCAACTGCAGTGATCTCATAATTTGTGCTGGAACAGAAAAAGTTGAAAAGGACACGTTTCTGGTGTTCTGGGATGCAAGAGGCATTACAGATTGTGCCAGCGCAACTAAAGAACCCTTGGGAGTCTATTCTGAAAGTCACAATGATGATATCACTAAAATTTGTTTTCATCCTATCGAACCTAACTTGGTAGTTTCCGGGTCAACTGATGGGTTGGTTAATGTGTTTGACATTAACAAGGATAATGAAGATGATGCTTTGATATCAACTTGCAATTCAGATTCATCAGTAAGTTTTATTGGCTGGTCTGGGAAAGATTATAAACAGGTCTACTGCATGACACACGATGAGGGATTTTGTTGGTGGGACATTGCTCAGTTAGATACCGAAGAACCAATAACACTATTGCATGTTCTGGATGTCAGAGACACAGTCTGCATTGAAAACGACAGCTTACATTACCTGGTAGGTGGCTTGTACCATGAAAAGGCAGACAAACTCTTTCTTATTGGGGGAACATCCACAGGAAACATTCACCTTATCAGCTGCAGCACTGAGGGACTGAGCCTGTTGGGTACCCTTTGCGGAGGACACTCCGCCACTGTTCGCTCTTTCTGCTGGAACCTGACAGATGAGTCTCTGTTGACGGGTGGAGAGGATGCTCAGCTGTTGCTATGGAAACCCAGAGCTGTGGAAAGGTCCCTCGCAAAGAAAGCATCTATGAAGATTGCTTCTTCTGTGCAAAAGAGAGTAAGGGTTCACAACAGCTCCCTCAAAAGCAGGAAAAAGTAAATTTCTGAAAGTGAGAATCTGCTGCGTAGAGTTTTCCTAGTGTTTAATCTTTCAGGCAATACTTGGCTGTGCTTTGTTTGGAGGTATTCTGTGGAAAGAACTACAATGCTTGATTTCTACCTGGGAATGTATTTCAGTCATCAGAAGAATACCTTTTTTTGTTTTTTTAGAAGTTGCTAATATTAATCAGAAAAGAGTAGATGTTTGCTCTCGAGTTCTTGAACAATAGATCTTAAATCATATTGTATAAAAATGTTTCTGTAGTTGTTTAATGTCTCAGCCAACGTTTTTAATGGGTATTACAGGCCTGTGGCTTGCATAATTTGTTACCTTCCCACTGAAATTCCCTGGCATGTTTTAAAAGCTTTTGTATTTCATGCTGTATTTTGCTTTCTTTACAGAGAACTTAATGAAATTGCTCAATATATTAAAAGATTTTATGTCACATCTTGATGCCTGAGGGAATTACTTCTTAACGAAACAGAAAAGAAGTCCTGTTTTGCACTGTCATATCAATGGTTTATAATAAGGTCATAAAGAAGCAGTTGATAGCGCCATATTTTTCATACCAAAGATATGAATGTATTCAACCAAACAGGAACACATGATTCCAAGCAGCTAATTTTTAAGTGTATGAGAACTGTTAAACTGGCATTATTTAGGGCATATTTCCAACATGAAAATATCCAAGAATCTTGCAACCAGCTTCATTCCCTCCTGGTAAGTGCATCTCAGGGGTGTGCACCTGGAAGACTGGGGAGATGTTTAGTAAGTTAAAGAAATTGATAGGTATAATTACATCAGTGGTGCTTAAAATCCCAAATCCTGCATTTGAAATAAGCTAGTATCACATGCTAACTGTAATTATGGAGTAACAGACCAATACGAAGAGACTTTAACAAAACCTTTTAGAGGTTAGTGTGTGTCCTTTAAGAAATGTTTCTCTCTGCAGAGAGGTTTTACGTTTAGATATCTCCCTAGGACAGCTTTGTTTTAGTAGTCCATCAAATACCTATTAAGTGGTGCAAAAATTGCCCTGTACTTCTGAAACGGTTGAGTCTTTATGCTTATTCTGCTCCACTGGCAGACTATAATCTGGGCATCTGGCTCTGCACACACAATTACCTTCAGCCTTCTGAGGACCATTGCAGTCAAATGGTGGCTGCTAATTATGCTGCAGTTAACATATGTGGACTACAACTGAAAACAGCACAAGAGTATTTAAGAATTGCTATGTTATCGAATAGTTGGCAAAGGAATTGAGGGGTTGGTTTTTATTTTTTTTGCCTGAGGGTGGATAGGTAATTCTTTCAAAACAACTTTTGAATGTCAAGTTGAGAGGATTAGCCTGGAGTTTAGAAACAATTTCAGAGGTACAGAAGATACCTCTAGTAGATGGTTACAGCTGTGCTGAAGATGTCTTAATCATCTCTGGAAACAAATCCTATTCAACCAGAAGTATCAAGTTTCCACATGATATGTTTTACAATGTTAATGTCCTTCAGCCACATCTATGCATCCATAGTTGTTTTGGGTCTGCCTGTTGGTGATAATTAAGATGATTCACTTGCTTTTGTTACTGCTGGTAATTTAGAAGTGCAGCTTCAATTTAAAAATCACATTTGTTTAAACTTGTTTTTTATTACTCGTGTTAAATTCAAGTTATGCCCAACATCCTTATCTGTTGATTTTCAAATTACTTTGTGCTATTTTGAGACAACTTGGGCATCAAATGTCAGGGCTATGACGCACCTGGATTATGTGCCCTTTCAAGATTTATTCTCCCAGGTCACTAGTTACTGCCTGTTTCTGTGAAATTCACAGGTTTGTAACTGAGGGAACCAAAACCTTCAGACCCCTCTGAATTCACCGTAATGCTCTCACGGGCCTGACTTGGTTCAGTACCAGTAGTTGGGGGTGGGGAACTGAAGGATGATTCTGAGACCTATTTCATTGCAAATACGATGTATATCTTGCTTTATAGGTGTTCATCCACTCTGTTCCTGGTATGTTGACACACTCGGTGGAGTAAGGTCATTGGGTCTGTCGAAGGCTTGATATCCTGAAGACGGTTTTGTGTGTTACATACAGAAATGCAGAGTGAGGGAGCTTTTGCTTGCCTCTGCTTGCTTTCAAGTGTCTGTTGAGCGAGATTCTGATGTGTTCTGCCAACTGTCTCTGAATTAAAGCAGCAGAGATGGGAGTTCTGGTACTGAAGTGTTTGAAGTGTGCAACCTGTATCTGTTGTCTCGTTTCTGAATTAGACTGATACATAACAAATCAATATCCATCACAGTTAAAGCCATGCTTTTCCTTGAGAAGTTGATTTCTCCCTTTTACATACATAACTTAAATAGCAATGGAAGGGGAAAAAAGTATGTATGTATCTTAAAATTCTGCAAAAGCGCAGCAGCTGTCAGGAGACTCAGGCTTGTGTTGCCTCTGAAAATACTTATTTTCTTTTTCTTTTGTGTTGACTTAATTTCGGGTTAATATCCATAAAATAAACATAGATGGAAACCACATGTTAACAAGTAATTAGTATTGCTTGCTTTTGTGAACTGCAAACACTATTTCATAGACCACAGAGCACAGGCAGAATACGCATGTAATCATATAAATAATAATGGACTTGAAATTAGGCAAGTTAACATGTCTGATTGTGTTTAATCTTTTAGGTTAGTTTTGATGTCTGTAAGTTGACTTCAGTCATTGTTAAGAAACATATCTGACCTTTATAAAACTTATGTAATTGAAACTATGTGCAAGTAGCAGGCATTCAGAAATCATCACTGTGTCAATTGTTTAACCCCAGGGGAAGCTTTAATTCTGGAAGCAGTATCAGATTTTTTCCAGTAAATGAAAAATAAAAATCCAGAGAGACTACCTAAGTGCACAAAGCAGTGTCCATCTTTATTCAGAGATGATAGTAAACCTGTTGTACAATATTTCTGAGCAGCAGGAGATTATCCTGCTGTGAACACATGAAAATAAACTTACTTACATTTGGCACGTTCCTAAATTTCCTCTTCCTTTTTCTTTTCTCTGTAGGTAAAATCCAACACTTGCACACTTGCCATCGGTGTGTTTAAGGTGTGCTCCCATTGAATATGGACTTGCTGCCTCTTCTTGAAGTACTGTTGTACTGTTTCATTTTGCTCAAGTAAGAGACAAATCAGGATGATATCCTGTAGTCAGTGGGGAACTTCATCAGCTATTTCAGTAGAGTGTAGGATTTGATCCACACTTTAGGGGGATGGTGGACATTAATTGGCAAATCTAAATAAAGGTGTGAATTCATTTATAGGTGGAATTTAGTTAGCCGGTTGTCAGTCATAAGCTATTTTGTTGCCAAATTGTATATGGCATGTGTCCTGTGTATTCAAATGGACATAACTGCATATCTACGTGAAAGTCTTAATTAGCAAAGATGCTGATACAGTAGAACATTGTGAAGACATAAAGTGCAAGCTTTATACTAGGTTTTTGAATGACGGCTTTCTCTTGGCTAGCAATCTTATGTAGCTCTGTAGGTCATGCTATTATGTGAAGCAATATATTTTGTCATGTGAAGTGCTGACTCAGAAATAGGCTCTTAATGGTGTTAGAAGCTGAGCACATGCACACTCCTGTAGCTGCATCTTGTGTTCTGTGGTAAGGCAGCCTGTCTGTCGGGATGGAGCCCAGCCCAAGTATTATGGGGGTTCTGTATGGATGCAGTTAACTGCAGTGTCAGTTTTTCAGCAAAGCTTTTGTACTCCCAAAAGAATTGATGCTTTTGGCCCACCTCATAAAGCTCGTCCGCATTTGCCATGGTTAATTTGGAATTACTTCTCTCCATCCCTTCAAAATGGTCTTCCGTTATTTGGCTTCTTGGTCTTTTTTGGGGGGCAGTACTGAGTTGTGTCTTGGTATCTGCATTTCTGGAGGGGGGTGAGCTGTGTCCCTTTCCCCATGAGCTCTCCTGTCCTGTGTGTAGGCTGCTGGACTCTGCACTTCTTATTACATCAAGTGGGTGGTGGGAAGCAGAGAGGGAAGAAAAAAGGGAGGTTGGCCCCTGCCAACCTTCTGACAGGGTGTTTGTCCAGGGAAGCTCCTCGACTAAGAATTCAGACCTTCTACCTTTGAAGTACACGTAATGGCTCGTTCTTGAGCTTGATGAAAGCAGGATAGGACCTTAAATAAATCATGCAAGACATAAACACCCTTCAAGCATGAAAGCCAGTTCCTGTTTGTCTGCGAGATGAACAATTTGGCAGCAAAGTTTGCAAGAGAGGCAGAAGGTGTTTGCTCGCAGGGTCTGGGTATTCTTAACTTTTGCTAGCAGTGAGGAGAGCCACTGGGCAAGCCAGTAGTGCTACCTCTACCCTGCAGGAACCAATGGATTTGGGATTTCAAGTGCCATGGAAAAAAGGAAGGCGAAAGTGAGTGTGGAGATAACAGCTAAAGGTAGCAATTCAGTCTGTGAACTTACAGCTGTCTGTTAGGTGATTATACAGCACTCCGTTCCTTGGTTACTTATCAGAATTATTTGCAGATAACCTAATAGCGAATTGTAAGGATCTTTGGTAACTTCTTTCCTTGTTCTGTACCAGTTTGTAAACTGGCACAGTTATGTTGGCTGATGGGAGTGGAGTGGGGTTAGCTTCAGTGACTGCCGCTGATCACTTGGCCTCAGCTTGCTGTCGTGTTCTGTCCTACCCGGATTTCAGCACATGCATTTCTTCCAAGTCTTGCATCCTCATGCCTTTAGATACTTTGAAATCTGTATTTTGAAAGTTATCTACTGTTCTGGAAACAGAATGACAGAAAATACTCTTCTATATACTCCTCCTGCAATCTTGGCACCAATATTTTTATGGGAATATATTACATTTTCCGTTCAATATCAATTTTAGTCTTATTCTCTCATGTTCTGGATAAAGATTCAGTGGTGCTGAAATCCCACAAAGGTGGTACCTGAGCAGCCTGTTGCCCAGGAACTCAGAATTGGCAATGAG